TGTAATTCCTCAAGGGACGGACTGGCCTGGGGAAGGAGAGAAGTTTGGGATGAAAGAAGAGGGAGTGAGACTGAGGGGTCAAGTGGCGTAATAACGCCATTTTTAGTATATTTCTATTTTCTAGTTCTAGAGTCCCTGGAGCTCAAAGCTCGAGCGAAAAGTGTAGCGTGGGGATATGGCGGTAATGTCAACCGAAGCTTTGGTCATCAAGATCAGTGGCTCACACATCGCCACGTCATATGACATTATAAATAAAAACCTTCTAGATTAACGGTTTAATTGATATTTATGAGTAACCATTAGCGTATGTAATTCTAATTATGAGCTTGCAGCGACGTCGTTTAACGAACCGGAGGCAAAAGCAAAATTAAAGGAAGAGAAAAAAAAAAAAAAAGCGGTGGCTGGGCCGGTAATGGGCCCAAAATGGGCTGACCCTTTCAAGCCCGATTCGAGTTTTCAAATGTAGATTTTATTTATTTTTATTTATGAATTTATTAATATCAGACAAAAGAAATAATAATAAATTCACATTTAAATTAATTTAATTATCATGTTCATTTCTTATATGATTAGTTTAAAAAAATAATTAAAATATAGCTGTCATCAATTAAGATTTGTTGGGTTGTCATCTACATATAATGGCTTAAAGAATACAAAAATGGAATTAATTATGTATTATAATCAAATCTTAATCTTATCATTAAAGAAAAAAACAAATTTAAATAATTACCCACCAATTTTTTTTACTACATATGTACTTCGATCGAGTGTCGGGTAAAAATTTAAAGTACGTAAGAGTTTTTCGGAGATCTAATTTTAAGAAAAAAAATCAGAATTCGCAAACAAATTCGAGCGTATTCACTTTTTGAAACATGATTTATTTAATTGATTAAATAAATTTTTAGACGCGGGTAAATGTAATTACTGCCCTATTTTTAATTTCTATAATTAATTATTATTTAAATACATAAATGCATTATTAAAACTGATTAGTGGCAATAATTAAATAAGAACAAAAATTAAACAATAAAACTCTTCAAACATTTTTACAAACAACTTTAATTCCATTTACAAAAATATGTAATTAATTAATTATAACCAGAAAAATAAATCCAAAAAAAAAAAATTGAAAAACGAGAAATTCAAAAAAAAAAAAGAAGAAGATGAATTAATCACACTGTAATTAGTTATGTGATCAGAAAGTCCATTTCCAAATCTTGATCCTCAAATCAACCTTACACTTCGCATCAGAAGTTGACGCCATGGTTGAACTCTTCCCGGTAGGAACACTGGCTTTAATTCCTTCGCACGAAATTCTAGCTCTAACTTTTGGCGTCTTCAACACTCCCATCTTCGCTTTCACCTTCGTCTCCAGCTTTATCTTCAACGGCAGCCCATCTTTTCTTTTCAACTCCGTTTTTAACTTGGCAACAGACGGCTCATCCAGCTGTTGTTGATCGCCGTTGGTGATGACCGCTTTAAGCAGAGTGGTGTTCTTAGTGGGATGGACGAAGGAGGGGAAAGTCCCCCGGCCGACGGGGATGTTATCGTCGGTGGTGAGGGATATAGTGATGGGGTCGTAAAAGTAGAGCAGCTCTTGTTTGGGTTGTAGCGAGACGTAAGTTGATGTGTGGCAAGTGGGGGAGGAGGATGTGAGTTGAGAGAAGAGATTTGAGGGAGGAGACGGAGAAGGTGGGACGGTGCGGACGGTAGAGGAGATAAACGACGGCGCCGGCAATGGCGAGGAGGAAGATAAGAAGGAGGATAAGGAGGGAGAACCAGAGGCAGCAGGAGCAGCAACAGCCTCGGGAGTGAGAACGACGGCGATGGTGGGGTTGAGGACGGTAGGCAGGGCGTGTGGCGCCGTAAAGTTGAGCCTTTGTAGCTGGGAAAGAAGGGTTTGGGTTGGCGGTGGTGGTGGTGGCGGTGGTGGTGGCGTTGGCGGCGGAGCCATTGGCGTTGGGCTTAGCTGAAGGGTAGATTCTGTCGGCCATGGTGAGAGGTATGAGAGAAAATCAAAGAGAATTAGAGAATTTAAGTGAAAATTATATTTATTTATTTATTGGAAAAAAAGAATTGTAATTGGTGTGGAGGAGAGTTAGTTGAATGTCAATTGATCAAAAGTGGAATCGCGAAGAGAAAGACAGCTACATCATAACCAGAGCAAATGCATACATACATATATATATATATATGTATATATGTGTATATATATATATATTATATATATACACACGCGCCTTGTGGGTGAGTGTAATTGACATGCTCGGACACATTTCCAATCTTTGTTCATGGCCGGAATATGTTCTACTTGGGAAAAGAATTAAGGTTTCTATTTTGTTATGTGCAAGACAGATTTTATTGAACAAGTAAAACCAATGTCATGAGGTATTTACGAACCCAAAAACAAAAAATGAAGAAGAACAAATTTCGTAGCTTCTTTTACTGATCGATGCATCTTGGTTTAACGATTCTCGTAGTTTACAAGTATATATAACGAATATTCGATAAAAGAGCATTTACAGATTAAAAAATTGTTAAAATAAACAAAGAAGTAAACTTCGGGTTCTCTTCTTTCTTTTCTTATAAGTTGATAACATTTAAAAAAAACACGTCAAATATGAAAAAAAAAATCATGATGTTAAAGAAGAAGTAAATCAAAATTTCAAATAGAAAGTAAATCACGACGTCAAAAATGAAGTAAATCATGATATTTAAAAGAAAGTAAATCAGGATGTTAAAAAAAAAAACCTTAAAGAGACGCGCTTTCATGACTAGCCACCATCAACATCACTCCCAGCTTTTATAGTTGACCACCAGTTAAATTACACATTCTCATTCATGCTGCTCTGCTCCGGTCAACCTACTCCTACATCTCTACCCTATTTTTTTATGTCCAACCAACTTTTGCGTGCAATCATCAGTCGTGTAGTTTCCAGCTACTATTTTAATCAGCTTTATGTCGTACGTAACATCTTAAAGTTACTAAAGGATACTTTCACATGAAAATTTTTATTTGTAAATTTAAACCAATTCAAGCTATTTGTTATTTCATAAAAAAAAAAATATTTGATTCAGTCTCAGTTAATTATTTAATTTGTAAAGTAGTTCATCATTTTCTTTGTTATCATAATCAAAACCAGGGCGAGGCTTGTTTTCTCATCCTCATCTTTATTAAAGTTACAAGCTTTTTCCAACGCTAATTGGACAACATGTGTAGATTTTATAAAGTCGATCGTTGATTTTTATATTTTCTGCATTGATATCTTGGAAAGGTAAGAAACAAATTACAATTTTACGTTCTTCGTTTGAAGTCGAATACAAGGCTTCAACTACTATTTTTAGTGAATCACTACAGATTCAATAACTATTACGTGATTTTTAGGTTCATGTTCTATTTCCCAATACTCATTTTTAATAATCAGACGATCACATATTGTGTTAAAAAAAATCATTTCTCATAACCATATTAAGCGCATAAAGATTTATTATCATTTCATACGCAACCACATTGTTTTTGGAGCTATTAAACTTATATGACTATTTGATCTACAGACCAACTCATCCATATATTTACTGAGCCATTATTTTATATTATTTTACTCATCTTGTCGTTCGTTCAAGTTG